GACTGCGAAAACAGGTTTTGTCATGTTTTCATTGGAACATCTTTCAACAACAACAATAATTATTGATTGGCCAAAGAGGACAAATACAGCCATTTAGGATTTGCTCGAAAAAATTTATGACACATCACACATATAAACTGAAACGTCTTTGGTGCTGAACTTCACGAAACCAATGCAGATATTCTGTAAACCGATAATGCATATTGTGTAGATCGACTTTCTTGCCACTATTGAAGGTTACTTAGTCGGTCCATAGAATTTGTCATAAACATTCTCCATTTTCGAGTATCTTGCCGAATATCCAATGGTAAATTCTGATGGCCATGAAAACTCACCTATGGTTTTTCAGAATTTTTGAACCGTTGTTCGTGGATGTTGAATTTAAGTAAATCCCTCCAATTTACTTAAATTCAACATCCACTTCGAAAGAACGTTAGAGAATGTGTGGTGTATCATACAGGGAGTTATTGGGCCCTATTTCTTCAAGCGATATCCCGTGTTTCCATCAAAATCTGCACTATATGGTCATGAAGGTTTTTCTTTTTGTCGTAGAGTCTCAGTTTCAATTCACCTATCATACAATCAAAGTCACAATGAAGAGGGAAAATGTTACATACAGTTTAATTCCCGAATTTACCAACGGTACAGAGGTATACACTGAATATTGAGCTTAACATTTGTACCAGCTAGTGGCAATTCATTTCACCCCAGACAGCATCATATATTCCATGAATCTCCCTATCATATTCCTACTGGAATATTGGAATATTCTAGAAATAATCTGTAATATTCCGGAATATCTGTGGAATACTCTCTGAATATGCGAATGGTAATTCCTCAGATACTCATAGAATATATCCAAAAGAATATTATATGTTAAATGTTTCTGGAATATTCCAATGAACATATTCTAAAATAGAAAAAAAGTGACCCAAGTAGGGATCGAACTCGTGACCTCAAGACTATCAGAGCAACGCCTTGGCAGTAATCGAATTGAATAATGTTGTAGATATCAATTTCTTGTGAGAGCGTTGTTCGAAATCGGATCATAAACACTTTTTGTTTCAAAATTCCCTTACATCTAATTGATGTTCGATACTCACATCTCTGAAATAATGATTGGTATTCATGTGTTGAGAAAGAAAGGAATATTCATGGAATATTTAATGAATATACATCACAAAATATTGAGTTGAGAATATTTCATGAATATATCGCACAGAATATTCAGTTGAGAATGTTTCATGAATATACCCCACAAAACAATCAGTTGTCAATGGTGCGGGCAACATCCATCGTGTGAGCTGAAAAAACTTTCACCAGTGGCGTCGCAAAGGCTTATTGCATCATTTGTTCCTTGTAGAGCACTTCAGAAAAGCTGTACGAATATTTTATCTACTCAGGTCGAAATTGGATAGGGTGTTTGAAATATTCCTATAGGTTATAGATCAAGGACAATCGATAAATGACAATTTTCTCATTAGAGACCACCTTGATAATTAATCGAATTTGGATTCCTTCAGAATCTTGTCGAATCAACGATATAGGTGCTGTCCTCTTTCCTTCTTGGAATAATTCTTGTGTGCGAGCACTCGTTTTCTCAAATTTTTTGTTTCTAGAGCTTTTTCTCTCAGCTGCAGTGATCATTCCTTTCAACTCCCAAAATCAGGAAGTTGATTACAATAAATTGAGAGATTAAAAGAATCTGGAATGGAAGTTGAAGATTTTAATGAAGTTATGAGTCATTATCACTTGTGTGAATTATTTATTCATTGACATATTCTTGCTTCGTCTGCTCAATCCGGAGTTCCGGACGACTTCTACAACAGCCACCTTCCACCTGAGCAAAATATCCCTTGAGTGTGGTAGGTAGTATCAGTACATGCCATAATTTATAATAACACATGTGATCTGTAGTTCTAGTTAATTATTATGTCATTTTATTTCGTGGTTCTCCTCCTGAGACAAGGAACCTTCTTTGAAATTTTTCATTACATGAAAATAATGAATTGCTACTGGTGAAATTTGAGAATGATGATTTCTTTAGCAAAACCCAGCAACTGTCTGTCATAGAACCCACAAAATAATCGGCTGTGTGCTAATTCTTGGTTGTTACAAGGGACAGTAGTTGAGCACATCAAATCCTTCTCTTTTCCACTTTCTTGAATCATAGACCAGTGATTCAATGCAGTCATATAGAGTAGTTACAGAAAACTTAGAATATTTAACAAGCTTGATATAATTTTCCTCAAATTGAAGTATTTAATGTGAAGACTATTTGCTATATATTTCTTGACTGTTTGACCAATCAATTACAGTTGATGTTGAAAGATGTACCACTGGAGACACGACAGAACCTGTCTTTTCAGTTAGATGGTTGCCCAGCACATCTTGCTCTTATTGTGGGAGAGGTATCAATGCAGTTTTTCAATAGAGGTGGATTGAAACGAGAAGTCTATTTCCATGGCCTCCTCGATGACCATACTTTGAATCACTTAAGTTTTATTCATGGGAGCGGTTCAAGAACATCGTATGTCAGACTCAACCTATGACTAGAGAATATATGAGAAAACGGATTCGGAATGCAATACTTAACATACCGAGAGCCGATAGGGAAGCTGCATTTCTTCAACCCTCGATAGGCTTTAACAATGCATTGAGCGTGATAGCCAGCATTTCGAGCATCTACGGAGGTATAAAGAACTGTGTTCACCAAAATTGGCTCTTTTCAGGGCCACAACTTGCATCATAAAGAAGATTGATCAGTTCGAATAAATTTAAATTCAAGAGAGTACTGTATAAATATTTCTTCGAATGAAATTTCAGGTTAGACACTAGATATCGAGATGCAGTTTTCGCGATCTAGTTGAGGCACCATTCAACTCTTTCTTAAAAAACAAACAAACCGATGAAATCCATTTTTTCGAGAAATTGTGAGGGAATGTCGAAAAAAGCCATCTAGCGGTAACGTCTGAAACTATCAGAACCCCGCAGATAAAAACATTATTTGTTGACCAAGAATAGCTCTAGTTCAAGTTTGTTGGAATCAGTGAAGCAATTCCGAAGATACAGTGTGTTTTTAAGGAAACATTTAATTACCTTCCATCACTTCATTTTTAGAGATACAGCAAGAATTGTTCAACGAAAAGTTCCAGATCGAATTCATTTTTAAAAATCAGGTAAATTTTTGTTAGATATCGCGGAATTCACAGAAAAATCACTCATTACAGTTACGAACCCTAGCGGTCATTTCAGAAACTTGAAAATCATCAAGTTTTTCTCATGGCCGTTTATGTAACACTTTCTTTTTCCTCGAGAGTCTACGATGAATAGTTTCCCAGATACTGTACCTTGTATACTCAGTCGTCCACCCTGTATACCAGCTGTTATAAACGAAATTATTTAAGTTTTGAACGATTTTTGAATTATATAAACGTCAGCATAGTTTTCCTTCTCATTATAATCTAGCTCATATATTTGAAAAATTATGTCCTATATTGAGATAACTTGTAATCACTATGCAAGTTGTTTTGAAATTCGACCAAACGCGCTAGACATCAACTAACCACCTCTGTGATTCCATTATTGGCTATTGTAGTATATGACTAACATGACTGATTCAACTTATATCTGTTATCACCGAATGCCGAGCAGGGATGCGTAACCGATGTAAAAGAGGTAGTAGATGTTTGACATTCGAACAGTGAAGGCCGTAATAAAAGTATCACTGCAAACAGTATTTTATTACAAAAGTGAATGTTATTACAGCTATGAAGAAGTATTGATACTGGTGTAGTCATGAAGACTGAAATTTTTTTACATACCATCATGGAATACGACCACATTCCACAGCAAAACATAGTTTTTTACTGTATTGTCGCGCTGTTTCATGTGATAATGTCGATGTGCTATACATGGCTGTGAATATTTGGCTCAATTCAATGGTATGAAAAACCAACATGGCGCTCATAAGAATATCAAGAGTTGCATGGTGAATATCTGAAACTAATCGAGATATTTCTGACAATCCCTACCTATTTGTTATGATTACACAAAATTCCAAAATTTTTCCAGAAATGATCTTGAGTTATCTCAAAGTATCCCAGGAACAGCTGAAGTTTTTTCAAATTGTAGAATGGCATACTGAAGAGGTTAAAATTACGCAACTTCTGTCTAATTTGAGATGATTCTTCTTGTTGGACCGTGTTCAAAACTGTGTCTACTTCCGACAACGTCTGCGCCGAGCTACTAGCCACAGTGCTGCCAGGTGGCAGTTAAACTTCTGCCACCGCGAGGTGAGCGTCGTATCGAAGCTTCATCAAAGGTTCTTGCCTGACTGTGGGGCCGCCATGACAGTACGCGTCTTGTATCGTGTCTATCGTATTCTATGGTAGTTATTATTGTAAAGTTAATTGTGACCTAGTAGGCAAGTGATGACTAAGAAAATATTATGCTTTCCCAAAAATCAAGTTCGTGTTTCCTCAACCACCATCAGACACCCCAAAAATGAATTGAAATCAACCATTTTCCTCTGGAAGATATGACGTCACCATTGAAGCTGATACGGTTCATTTTAAGTTCAGAGTTATGAATGTTTTCTTGATATTATTCAGTCCGAATATTTTTTGTCAAGATCGAATGAAAATTCCATATGCCTTTACAATTATTGTTGATCACTTCTTCTCACACTTCTCACCGATACACGTTTATTTAAATAATTGAAATATTTCATGGTTCAACGAGATTACACAATAAATTCATTCATTCAACTTCCTATTCGCGATTGAAAATAAGCCAACATATGTCATTTTTTATCGCGAATCCCTTACCATTGAGGAATTAGCAATACTGTTGTATCAGAAAGACACTGTACATATAAATACTGAAAAAAACTCACTCACATTCGAATTTATTGTTTTAAAGTATCCATTAGTTCAGTATCAGTTTTTTTTCAGAAAAATTTAGTGAAAGACTCAGCAGTTTCTCATAGATTATCTTACCCTTGGCTGGGCCAATCGCTTCACCGTTTCTATTTCTCTGTCGGACATAACGTCATGGAACATGTATAAGTCGGGCTTCAGATGCATCTCCTCAAGCTTGAAAGGCGCTATCAACAAGAACGGGTTGTTGTTTCTGGCGTATCTGCATCTCAGTTTGGCTGACATTTCTGCAGGCAGTTGCGTTTCGCCCCTGCACAGATTTTCGTAATGTTCTCTACCGTAAGGGTCTGGTTCGTAATGCTGAGAAAATCAATCAATCAGATATTTTCAATTCATAAGTCGAAGATACGGAATGAAATGGTATATTTCTTGAATCGACTTGGCCGTTACTTGATGGAAATCCATGACAAATGTTAAAACTTCACAAACGATAAAATCTCAACAAAATTCTCAAACACGCAACATGTTTCGCTAGCACAGTAGCTTCTTCAGGTGATATACTGGTACAATGAACTTAATCAACCTTGGCTTGCTCAACTTTCAAATATCCTACTTTCCCTACTTGAAGGATTAGTTACCTGTGAACAGGTTTGATAAACTTCCATTTTCGGAAATTAGGCGCAATATGTAAATCAAAATACGGTATACCGTATGAACTTGAAAGAATTCATAGCAAATGTATATTATCTCCTACTAAGAACACAAATTCAACAGTGGTGAACTATTGAGGTCTGATTGATTGTTAAGTAAAGTGTCAAAGTTTTTGAGTTTGTTGATTTTTAATGATTCAAAATGATTGAGTACCTCTCCTTATTTTCTTCGTGTAGAATTTCAGAGCCATCATAAAAATATTGTTTTCTTTCATAACATGGTTGGCGCATGTTGAATTTGTTTGCTTTCTCAAAAAATTCATCTTATGTTTGTGAATGCGCTGATTAAACATACGACCTGTCTGACCGATATATACCTTTGGACCAGATCCACAGTTGACATTGAATACCCCTGATCCTTCGAATTCAGAAGTTTTGTCTTTATCATTTTTGATAAACCTTCCCAACGTTGTTATTTGTTCAATATGCTACTTTCAAGTCGTGTTTATGTAGAAATGAAGCTGATTTTTCAGTGTATGATCCGAAATAAGTTGAAGTTCTATAATTTCTCGAATTTAGAAGTTTTGTCTATTATTTTTAATGAACCTGTCCATCGTGTTATTCTACATGCTACTTTTGAGTCCTGTTTATGTAGAAAGGAAGCCAATTTTTTTAGTTGATGATCCGAAATAAGTTAAAGTTCTATGATTTTGATTATTATTCTCGATCGTAGGATGAACTTCTTGAATTGCTTCATTATGAGGTTTTTGAAAAAGAATACTGTCTATCAAATTCACGTTGTATCCGTTGTTGACTGCAATCTGTTCAATGATATTGAGTTCTTTATTGAAATCTACTTCCGAAAGCGGGACATTCACTAGCCTGTGTATCATACTATTATATGCTGCAATTTTATGTTGATGAGGGTATGTTGGATTATTATGAATAGTAATATCAGTGTAGGAAGGTTTGTGAAAAATTAGAGAATCATGTTTATTATTAATTTTACTCATTGTCAAGTCTACCAAGTCAATTATTTTGAATCATTAGAAATCAACAAACTCAAAAATTTTGACATGCATATATTTGTCATCAACCCTTTCAAGTTGATCCGGTACACCGTATTTTAATGAAGATATGCCTAATTTTTAGAAATGAATGATCATAGAACCTATCCACAGGTATAACTAATCCTTTAGGTTAGAAAAGTAGGATGAAAAAGCAAGCCAAGGTTGGTTTATCAGTTCATCGTACCAGTATATCACCTGACGAAGCTACTGAGTTAGCAAAGCATGTTGTGTGTTTGAGAATCTTGTTGAAATCTTATCGTTTGTGACCCCATATATCCCAGGCAACCAGATGACTTTCCAGTGACGTCTTTTTTACGCCACTTGAATGTCCAAGGTGACGTCAGTAGTTGACGTCGCATTGACGTGACAATGACGTGAATAAGTCACAGCCCACTGACGTCATATTACTCACGTCGTATTGACGTCATTCACTCACCAAACTGTGACGTCCGACTGACGTCAAAATGACGATTGAATTAGGCGATGATACGTGAAAAAGATTTCTTCAATATGGTGTGATAAACACCACTAGAATCTGACGACATTATGGAATATTGATTATTGCATTGTTGAGTCTGCTTGGTGAGACCCTCCTGTGTCATGTTAATTCAATCGCCTATTCAGCAGCGCCATCCTTCAGTACGCATCTCCATCAGAATGCAATCAGTTACTCGTATTTGTATCAAAAATTATGTAGTTTGTGTCGGCGAGATGTAAGCAAACAAAGAATAGTTTGATAGCAATGAAAAAGATGTTGGCGAATTTGGCATCACTTTCTTGAATAATGTATATTGATGCATTCTTTGTCACCCAACAAAAATCTGAACAGCAAATTATTGAAAAATTTCCCAAATGACAGAGCTCACCAAATTGGTACGTCACACCGACGTGATTTTTAGACGTCATAGATACGTCACTGCAATGTCATAAGAGTAACGGTTTCAATATAGGTATACCTAAACAATCATGTTTATATATACAAAGCTTGTTGGTTTCCGAGATATACAGAGTGTCAAAGTTTTTTTAAAAAAAGTTGTTCTTCTACTTTTCGGGTATATCAATAATTGAAATAAAACTTGCATGTTGATTTGCTTTCATGAGTTATACTTCTGTTTCACATGATAATATATATAAGTATGAATCTGACGTCTCCTTTTAACCATCTAAGTGACGTCCACTCGACGTCGAAACGATGACGTGATTATAACGTCATAGGAAGTAAGTCATAGTGTCGTCATAAATTGGTGTGTGGCGTCTCTGACGAAAAATCACCAATTAGGGACGTCACAGTGACGTGATCATTCGTCATCTGGTTGCCTGAAATGTGCCTTGCTTTTTTATTGAAATAAAAAAGGGTCGATTTTCATGAAATCATATTCGACACAATTAATGCTTCATCAAACAAAGTATCTAACAGATAGCCATATGATGTATGTCTCTAATGTTGTGTATTACGGTTGTGTGTTCAATTACTGATCACATTAGGAATTGATCACTGCTAATCGGTGTGATTTGGATTTCGAAACAAGGAATATGTGAAACAGTTCATTCCATATGTCAATTATCGATGTTTCGATACAGGATATGAGGATACATTATATTTGTAAATCGGAGATTCGAGACTTATAAAGATACGTATTTTTGCGAGTAACTCTTTCTGAATATTTGCCTGTTTTCGCACAAGCAGATGGCATTACCAAGTACCCATAAAATATCACGCAAACAACACAAACAATTACATTATCCAATAATAAATGTACAAAAAGTAAGGATAATAATAATCAAGTCGTTTGTTACTATTTTCTCTTGAATCTGTCAGTTATTAATCAAATGTTTTCAAGTTTTCAGGGTCCCTCGAACAATTTGATTTTTGCAGGTACTCATTGGTTATGCTCTATGACATCTCCATGAGTATTTTGGTCCAATTTGATCGTCAATCAAATGATGGAAGTGTCAATCACTTCATCATTCTGGATCCAAACCTATTGATTGTTGGTAATATTTGAACAAGAAAGTGAAGTTCTATTTGTCTTTTGGAAAATTCACATTTGAAAAATAGAGGTTGATGACCATTTCTGGGTAATATGCGTACTACAAAATATATCTCTACCATCGTTCCGTATATTCGAAAACAAAAAGTTATGGGTTGATGTTAGAGATCGTCGTCTACTCACTCCATAATTTTCAATATCGTCAGATTCATCATCTCCTTTCTTTGGTATGAAGGATTCCTTAGATTTTTCAATCTCCTCTTCATAATAAACTTTGTTACCTAAGGCTCTCGTATGAGTTGGTAGTATTTCCAGAAGCTTATTAGTTAAATCTAAGGCAAGAGGTATATTTCCTAAAAAACAAAAATGTGTTGGTAGCTTTTCCGAAAGTAACAAGCATGTTATAAGAGAAAAATTTCATGAAACTATTCATTCAATGTTTGTTTGCTATGTAATATTTGGCAATGAATATGTCCTCGATTGCTATACTTCGATTCATCATTTTTTGTTAACAAATTGAATTTATTTTTGACAACTCGAATATTTTTATCTCACTGTCCCCGCCTATCTTACATTTGACTTCATCCTTCAAATAAGGTAACATTTCTACCTGAGGCATATACCTACAGTGAAGAAACCTATGATGGAATAAAATCAGTATTTATACATAACTAGAATATTAAGTTTAATGGAGTCACCCAAGAGTGAATTGTCATTTTTGAAAATCTATATTACTCTTCTTGCAATTTTTCGACCACCTGTCAACCTCGTTTTCCACTGAACAACGCCATCAGAATTTTCAAATGGTACATTGGTACAAGGTGTCAAGTTATATCTTATTAGAGAGGTATCTTGAATCTCTATACAAAGGCCTATCATTTTTTCAATAGAGGCCAAATGACACGAAAATAAGATTTATATCAATCAGTTCTACCAACTCTGACCTCACGTTTCTCAACAATTTTTCATATCTCTAAAAACGAATGAGTAAATATAGGGGGTTCCATTTTGGGAGGCGCACCCTGTACAATGAAACAGGAACTACGCATCACCCATCATATCGACAAAAAATCCAATCAATTGCGATTATCTCGATTCGAAAAATATATGAGTAGATCATTGTATCGACATTCAAAATACCTCTCTGACAAAGTATAGCTTGATTTCTTGTACCATTTGGAAATTTCTTGAGTGTTATTGATCTGTAGGACAGAAGGTTATAACAGTTCACGAATAAAAAATTCGAAAAAAAAAATCGAACTATTCGAGGATTCTTTCAAATATATTCCTGTTATGGATATACCGATTTCATTCCACCAAAGGGCATCACAACATTGTATAGTTCTTTGAATAAACACTAGTGAAATGAACATGTCTATTACCTTCTTTATATGTAGAGAACGCTAAATATTCCAAAATATCACTTTGGTCCACCGTTTCATTGGCTTCCCTTTTCAGTCTTGCCTCCGCCTCTCTCATCCACAATTGGGTGTGGTAATAATCTCCGTTATTGTAACTCTGTCTTCCCAATTCAAAGCAGTCTGCCGCTGATAATTCAGCGCTGTACTTGACACCGTTGAGTTCTCCTCTTGCTAATGACGAAGTATCCAACCTGGATAAATCAATCAATCAATCAATATACAGGTTGATTTCGAATTTGATGAATATATTTCAACGACGTATCGTTGGGATCAAAATACTTTTTCTTCACATAAACATATATGTTTTAAATTGCACCCTCTCAAAGGAGATATCCCAGACCACACATGTGTGTGCATTTGATGTCCATTATGTGTCCATCAAGGACTGCGATGTTCATGGAAATCCATTTTGGATATGTACAGTAGACATTTCAATTTTCTATTTTTGTGTCCATCAGGCAAGAAGATGTTCATCCATTGGATATACAGGGTGATTCAGATTTTGAGGCACAAACTGATATGGGAGATAGATCTCATTTTGATCAAAAAAGTTTATATAAACATTAGTCCGATCTCGTTCAATAGCGGAGCTACAGGGTGCATTTTCTTCTATTATGTTACGACCCTCTACAAGTGGCAACGGCGGAACTGGCAACTCTGTAGAGAATCGTCGTAGAACTGGTGTGAGAGGTCGCGGGAAGTACTAGAGTGCGACAGGCGACTCGAGAACGGCGAACGGCGATCAAGGGAGAATACAATATATTATAGATGTTGATGTGTTTGGAAATTACGAATAAATAGTTTTGAGTGAAGTAGTGTGATAAAGTTATTGTTCGTTTCAATTCAGAAGTGGTGATAAAGGACTGCACAGTGCCTGGCGGGCGAAAGAAGTGAAAACCTCGGTGAAAACAGTGGGTTTCAATTTCAATCGGCGTTTTGGAATAAATAAGTGGTGTTAAAAACAAATAAAGGCGATCGGCGGTACTGTAAGTACAAATTCATTATTACTGGCGATTTAGTACATGCAGTAACAATAATCATCATTGTTTTTGGGGAGATTTTGACGAATTCCTTTGTTCTCTATCGGCGGCGCACGATTCTCGACCTTATATCCAGTGTAGTTAAGGGATTTTATGGTGTGGAACTAGTTCAATGACGCGGTGAGGTCTACAGGTGAACGTTGCTTGCTGGCAGGCGTTTGCTATTCTCGACCTTAGCAGTAGAATAGTTAAGGTAGCTTTCGGCGTGAAACTATCTTAAACGGCGTTTCTGTTTACATTGAAAAGGGACTGAAAATTATATTTTAATTTATTTTGGCGATTATCATTATTCCAAAAACGATATTTTGAGTTAAATCACTTGGCGAATAATTGATTTTTGATATTTAATCGGCGAATTTAAATAAAATTAATATACAGAGGCGTTTCTGTGGTATTAATTTGCAACGGCGTGACATTTTATGACGAGCCGTAAGATAAGTTTGTAGTCGGCGTGAATTACATCTTATTCTTATTCTGGCGTGAAATAAAGTTTGATATCGGCGATTTCTCAATTAATTAGGTGACGGCGGTCACTGAATTTTGATAAATTATTTTTGTATTTTCTTTTGTTGTGGACTAGCGGCGATCCAGTAAGCAGTCAATTTCAATTGACCAGTGGCGTAGGTAACTTAAATTAGAATAGGAATTTATAATTTTTTTCGGCGATTTGGTTTCATTGGCGTACTAAGGCGTTAGTATAGGACTATTATTTTAAATTGCGGCGGTAAAGAATCAGTAGCGTAGATTTCTATAATATTGGCGGATATTAATTTCAATATTTCCTTTTTCTTGTAAGATGGCGAGTCAAGAGGAGAACCTTATGAACTATGAGGTCGATTTGGATGTCGATGGGTCCCCACGGCGGGAGGGAGCAACATCAACACCTAAGGAGCTGGTGGACTCCCCGAGGCGGCGACGGCGTCTAGATCCTCCAGCAGTTGAGTTGACCGGCGCAGGTGTAACAGTGGAAGGAATAGTTACGGCTTTGTTGGCGGGCGGCCTTAACCAAAGTATAGCCAAGGTTGTTAGACAGGAAGCAAGGTTGGTGATAGGCGATTTGACCGAGGCGACGGCCAGCGGATCTAAGAGAGCGGAATCGGAGGACCGACCGTCGGCGGCGAGTGGTGGTCGGCGGGGATCATTGCTGGGATCGGAGCTGGTTGAGAAATTCGATCCTGATGATGCTGATTCCAATATCGAGAGGTGGTTGAGACGCATCGATCAACTGGGGGCGATTCATGGATGGTCTGACTACGAGCGATCGGCGGTTGCTCAGAGCAGACTAGACGGCGCGGCGAGGCGATGGTTCTGTCGACTAGAGGATTATGACCTCACCTGGGCGGAGTGGAAGGAGAGACTGGCGGCGGCATTTCCACGGCGTTTGGATTTTGCTGTCATCATGGAAGAGTTGGTTAATCGGCGGAAGTTGGCAACAGAAACAATGACGACATACTACCATGCGAAGTTGGCGTTGTGCGACAGGGCTCGTATCAGAGGCGCTGATGCGGTTTCCTTAATAATTAGAGGTCTGCCCCAGGAGCTCCGAGCCAATGCGTACGCGGCGAGGTGCGTTAGTCCTGAGGCTTTGTATAGTACTTTCTTGGCGGGGCTGGAGAGCTACCACGGCGTGGAGCCTAGAAGACCAGTGGCGTCCAGAATCACTATTCCGGCGAGAACTAGTGGAGTCAATTACGGCGAAAAAGCGAGGTGTTACAATTGCCAGCAGATAACGACGCATCTAAGTCGAGACTGCCCGGAACCCAAGGTGGAGAGATGTAGAAGATGCGGCGACAGAGGACATTGGGCGAACAACTGTCCCAAGAGACGAGCAACCGGCGATGGCGTACGTCAGGTAAGATTGATTATTTCCCCAATTGAATCTTGTTTTAAGAATTTGGTAAAAATAAACGGCGAAGAAGTCAAGGCGTATTTGGATACTGGTAGTGAGCAGAATCTCATGACTTTGACTACGGCGAGGCGATTAGGGCTTGGTATACAGGCGAGAGGACGGGACACTATCCTACAAGGTTTTGGTGGAGCAACAGCCTATGCTCTTGGCGAGGTTCTGTTTGATTTGGTGATGAAATATTGTGCACTGAGTACCACGGCGTTGGTAACAGATTGCGATATGGGATTAATCGAGCTGTTGTTAGGCCAACCCACCATTACTGCTCCTGGCATCACTATGGTGGTACGACGAAATCAAGCGTATTTGGTGGAGGAGCCTGATTTTAACGAGTTGATGCGGCGTATCACTCTCGATGGTAACGGAGATCGCTGTCAGGTTATTTTGGCTGAAGATGTTACGCTGTTACCTTCAACGGTGAATAAAGTTAGGGCGGAACTAACAGGTGGCGTGGAGGGAGTCACGTATTACATGGATGCCAAACGGTTTCCTTTCAAGGGAACAACGGTGTTGATTCCGGCGGGTGTGATTGACGAAAGACGATGCTACATTAGGATCACCAACTTAGGCGATGCAGAAATATCCTGGGCGAAAGGCAAGCTGCTTGCTCGAGTTAAGGCGTGTCAGTCAAGCAGCGATAGCGAGAACACGACGGCGATATGTAAGGTGAATAAAATTTCAGTAACTACTAGTACTTTAGATTTTTCCGGGATAGATGTAGGCGATGTATCTGGCGAATGTATGAGGAAGTTGTACGAACTTTTAAGGCGGAAGGAGAATTGTTTTTCTAGAAACGACGGCGATGTTGGGTTAACCAATTTAGGCGAGATGGAGATCAAATTGACTAGTGACGTGCCTATTTGTTATAGGCCCTACCGGTTGTCGTATAGGGAAAGAGAGTTGGTGAGAGAGAAGGTACAGACCTTACTGAATGCTGGCGTGGTGAGGGAGAGCGACTCTGCGTACGCTAGTCCTATTGTGTTAATACCTAAAAAGACAGGCGATGTCAGAATGTGTGTGGATTATAGGGCGTTAAATGCTGTCACGGTGAAAGATAGGTATCCATTACCCTTAATTTCTGATCAGTTGGCGAAACTGGCGAATAAGACTTTGTTTACTACATTGGACCTGGCGCAAGGATTCCATCAAGTTCCCATGCATCCGGATTCTATAGGTAAAACTGCATTTATAACTCCTGATGGCCATTATGAGTACTTGCGTGTGCCCTTTGGTCTTAGTAATTCACCGGCGGTGTTCCAGAGGATGATCCACAAAATGTTAGGTAAACTGAGGTATGGCGAGGTGTTGGCATACATCGATGATCTACTTGTTCCCTCAGACGGCGAAGAGGAAGGATTGAAGTTATTGGAGACGGTGCTAGATTTGGTTGGAAGAGCAGGCGTAAAGCTCAAATCAGAAAAATGTTCTTTTCTGAAAGATAACATAGAGTATTTAGGCCATGAGGTCAGTGCCGACGGCGTTAGGCCCGGGAAGCGTAAAATAGAAGCGGTGGCAAAGTTTCCTGTACCTAATGATGTGCACGGCGTAAGGCAATTCATGGGGTTAGCATCGTATTTTAGGAAATTCATTTTTAATTTCTCGGTGTTGGCGAAACCTTTAACGCAGCTTACAAAAAAGGACACGGCGTGGCAATGGGGAGCATCTCAGGAGGCGGCGTTCTCTGAGCTGAAAGAGCGGTTAGCTAATAGACCTATTTTAGCATTATATGATAGTCTGGCGGACACGGAGTTACATACGGATGCCAGTAAACTGGGTGTATCCGGTATTCTGTTACAGAAGGGAGCAGAAGGCGATCTGCGACCAGTTGAGTATTTTAGTAGAGCGACTACGGCGCAAGAACAGTTTTATCATAGTTATGAGTTGGAGACCTTGGCGGTGGTCGAGTCCATTAAGCGATTTAGGGTATACCTGGCGGGTATCCATTTTAAAGTGGTTTCTGATTGTGTGGCGGTGAGAGCGGCTTTGCTCAAGAGAGATTTAGTTCCTCGTATAGCCAGATGGTGGCTGGCGATACAGGAATATGATATGGAGATTGAATATCGACCTGGAAGGCGTATGCAGCATGTTGATGCTTTAAGCAGAAATCCTCCAGGCGAAAGCATTGGCGTTAATGTAATAGTAATGGAGGAAGGTGATTGGTTCTTAACAGTACAAATGCAGGACCCTAAGGCACAAGAACTTGTAAGAACTTTAACGGCGAACGGCGATGTTGATCCAAATATAA